TGGGCTGGCGCGCTCCTCTTTCTCTCATCGGCTCCGCCCCCAGCATCAACGCTCCCGTTCGAGACTTCCCTTTTTTTCTCAAGGCGGTGCTCCTCCTCGCCGCGGAAAACTGCCGCCCCGACAAAACCAACGTTCCTGCCCGAGGTTTCCTTCCGTTTTACGCTGGATTGGCGCCCTACTCCTTTTTGAATTGGCGCGGCTCCCAGCGAAAACAACGCTCCCGCTCGAGACTTCCCCCTTTTTCGCAGGACGGTGCTCTTCCTCGCCGCCGGCAGCCCCCGTCCCGACAAAACCACGGCTCCCATTCCAGATTTCTTCCCTTCTTATTCAAGGCGGTGTTCCTCATCGCCGCCGACAGCCGCCGTCCCAACAAAACCAGCGTTCCCGCTCGAGACTTCGTCTTGTTTTACGCTGGACTATCGCCCTACTCTCTTCAGCATTGGCGCCGCTCCCAGCAACAACAACGGCCCTGCTCGAGATTTCCTCCTGTTCTATTCAGGGCCAGATCCTCGTTTCGCCGCCGACAGCCCCCATCTCCACCAAGGCAATCCTGTCGCTCGATACTTCTTTGTGCTTTACCCTTGGCTGAGGCTCCAATGGCGGTCCCGCATCGGCGCAGCAAGGCGCGGGCATGCGTTTTCGAGGCGGGATATGTTGGAATTCTTCGGAAGACGTGTTTGCAAGACTTCATTGGGCGGGAGATCTGGGAACGAGAATAACGGACCCCGCTATAGAACAATAGTCTCCCATGATGGGGATGGTTATCATGATGGTCGCATGCTTCGGGTGGAAAACATCGCGCATGAGGGTAATTTGTTTGTTGTTGTTGTTGCTGCTGCTGCTGTTGTTGTTGGTGTTGTTATTGTTGCTGTTGTTTGTTGTCGTAACTCGCGGGCCAGGGGGCCAGTTTGACCCGTAATATTTTCCCGAGAAACCAGGGTGCGGGCCCCGGGAAGGGCATGTCATTGAGGGAAAAGCCATGTGCGCCAGAAGGGGGCATCTACTTTAATTACCTTGTCACATGTGAGGGTTCAACAACCACAAACATTCCGAGACTGTTCGCGCCTCCTGCCCGCGTGTCATTCACTATGCATATCCCAAACCCTGGATACCCGCCCTCTTCGTCTTCGATCTTACCCTTTTTGGGGGGGTTATATTTCTTCCTGGCCACGTGTAATTGGAGAAGCCCCTCAGTGGGCAGCGTGGTGGGGCCTCTGTGGGCCGTTCTGGGCCTTTGTGGGTTGCATCTGGGGCCTCAGTGGGCAGCGTGGTGGGGCCTCTGTGGGCAGTGGTGGGGCCTCAATGGGCGCGTTCGGGGACTGTGGGCTGCGTCAGGGGCCTCAGTGGGCAGCGGGGTGGGGCCTCTGTAGGCGCGTTCGGGGCCTCTGTGGGCTGGATTTGGGGCCTCAGTGGGCAGCGTGGTGTAGGCTCTGTGGGCGCGTTTGGGGCCTCTGTGGGCTGCGCCGGGGGCCTCAGTGGGCAACGTGGCGGGGCCTCCGTGGGCGCGTTCGGGGCCTCTGTGGGCTGGTTTTTGGGCCTGAGTGGGCAATTTGGCGGGACCTTTGTGGGCGCGTTCGGGGCCTCTGTGGGCTGTGGCAGGGGCCTCTGTAGGCAGCGTGGCGGGGCCTCACTGGGCGCGTCTGAGGCGGGAGCCGTGGTTGTTGTAGCCCGGGGCCCAGGGGCACAGTTTGGCCCGGATGACTTCCTGTCAATCAACAGGGTGCGAGCGTCGAGGGGCGCACTTTGATTGAGAACCAACAATGCGCACAGGTGGGGGGGACCAACAGAAATCATTCTTCAGGAATGGAATTTCAACAGCAGCTGACGTGCGAGGGAGAGGGAATCGGAAGGAGGGGGGAGGCGGCCCAGGAGGAGGGAGGAGCAGGAAGGTAAGAATGCGAACGTTTGAAACAGTGCTAGGCGAGACGCCATTCCACAAAGAAGTCTCGGGCGGCAGCCCACGACGGGCGGGCGATCCTCTGACGGGCGGGTTGGGCGGGTGGGACATTCAAGCGGGATGCCTGAGTAGGGCGAGAGCGCGATTCCTAAGTAAATTGTGACGGCGTCCTTGGCGCGAGCGTGGTGCGTGAGCGTAGACAGCACATTTCTGAATAAACTGCGAAAACGTCACAGGCGAGAGCGCAACTCCTGAAAATGAGATGTCTGGCGGGAGCGGGGGTTCAGACTATAACGCAAGGAAATCTTCAGCGGGAGCGCCATTCTTGAGTACATTGCGAGGAAGCCTCAGAAGGGAGTGGGGGTCCTGACTAAATCGCGAGGAAGTCACAGGCGGGAGCGCCGATCCTGAGTTAATTGAGAGGAAGTCTCAACCGGGAGCGGGGGGTCCTGAGTAAAGTTAGACGAAGTCTCAGGCGGGAGCCGTTGTTGTTGTAGCTCCTGGGAGCAGCAACGCAGTTTGACCCGGACTAAATTGTGAGGAAGTCTCAAGCGGGAGCGCCGTTCCTGAGTAAATTTGGAGGAAGTCTCAGACGCGAGGGGGGGGTCCAGAGTAAATTTGGAGGAAGTCTTAGGCGGGAGATGTTGTTGCTGTAGTCCAGGGGGCCAGGGGAACACTTTGATCAGGAAGACTTTGCCTGTCCAAAAACATGGTGCGAGCGTCAAGGGGCACACTTTGACTGAGAAAAACATGATATGCACAGGTGAACGGGGATCAACAATACGCATTCTTCAGAAATGAATTCAACAACAGCAACAGCAACATCAAACGACAGTAACATCAACAACAACAGCCATTGTAGTATTGTTCGTTCCGATCTGGCCACGTGCCGCTCAGCACGTAGATCCCGAACCCTCGATACCCGCCCTCTTCGTCTTTGATCGCGTAGTTGTCGCAAATTTGTGTAGAACAGGGGAAGGAGGGAGGAGGGAAGAGACACGGGGGAGGGAGAGGGATGGAACACGAGAGAGATTCACAGGAGGGGGGTTCGGATCAGGAGTCCAAGCGGCAAAACCAGACGGGCGGGTCGGGCGGGCGGGCCCCAACAGGCAGGTCGAGCTGGCGGGCCCAGACGGCTGGGCCGGGCGGGCGGATCGCAGAAGCGTCAATCCAGACGGAATCGCGAGGGAATCCCGAGACCGCGACCCTTCCCCGATCATGTCCTCTTCTGGGGGTATATCTGCCTTGTTTGCCACGCGATTTTAGCGCAGCCCCTGAAACAGGGGAGGAGAAGACGGACGGAAAGGGGGAGGGCGAAGGATGAAGCACGAACGATATCAAACAGGGGGGCTAGGAGCAGAAAGCGCGTGGCAGAACCAGACAGGCAGATCGGGCGGAAAGACCTTCGTGGGCGGGTCGGGGAGGCGGGCCCAGGCAGCCAGGTCGAACAGGCGGGATGTTGAAGCGTGAGTCCTGCTTGAGTCGAAATGGGAAGTTTCGAGCGATAGCGCGATTGCAAAGTAAGTCGCAAAACGCGCGAGGGCGTGATTCCTGAAAGTCGACGGCGCGGCGTCTGAATAAATTGTGAGGGCGTCCCACGTGAGAGCGAGATTCCTGCATACATTGCGAGGAGGTCCCGCGCGAGAGCGCGATTCGGGAATCAATTGTGAAGACGTTTCTGTCGGGAACCATTGTTGTTGCTGTAGTTCTGGGCCCAAAAACCCAGTTTGAGCAGGAATACTTTCCTTGATACAAACAAGGTGCGAGCCCAGAGGGGGGCACTTCAACTGAAAAGCACAACGTGCAACGGTGAAGGGGCTCATACATGAGAGTTCAACAAGGCAAACACAACAATCATTTTCAGCATGCTTGTTTTTACCTTCTCGCGTGCCACTTAAAACGCATACCCCAAATCCCCGATACCCGCCTTTTTCGTCTCCGATCGCACCACTGTGGGGGTGCTTCTTTCTGAGTTGCAACGTGTATTGTGTGCAACCCCTGAGGCAACGGCAGGAAACCTGGGGAAAAGGAAGAAGCACGAGAGAGATTCGTAGGAAGGGACCTGGGATCAGAAAACACGCAGCAGAACCAGACGGGCAGATCGGGAGGGTAAACATTATCGGGCGGGTCGGCAAGGCGGGCCCAGGCGGCCAGGTCGAGCAGGCAGGTTGTTGACGCGAGAATCCTGCGAGAATCACGAGGACCTCTCGAGCGATAGCGCGCTTCCCAAGTAAATCGCGAGAGCGGCCAGAGCGCGATGGCGCGGCGTCTCAATGAAATGCGAGCAACTCCCACGCGAGCGCCTGATTCCTGCATATATAGTGGGGAGGTCCCGCACGAGAGCGCAAGTTTGAAATTAATTGTGAGGAAGTGTCGGGCGGGAGGCGTTGTTGCTCTACGTCGGGGGCCCAGGGCGTACTCTGAGCTTCATGGTTTTTGAGAAAAAGCTAGGTGCGAGTTCCGGAAGGAGCCCGTTAGTTTTTCATTGTAGCAACACTACGGGTACGGGGGATCAACAACCGATGTCTTTTAGAAATGAGTTTGAAGGCAACAGCAATCCGCACCTCGGATTCCCACTTCAGCCACGAGCCCAGGGACAGTGAATGAACGTCCCTCCCCCTCACTCTTACCCACTGCGTTTTGTTTTGGGCTCCCCCCTCCAGAAACCAGAGGCGCAGTGAACATGGATACAAGTCTGGCCCCATGTGGCTATGATGTTCTTTTTCCATGTCCACCGCCCCTCGGCCTCTTGGGGCCCCTTCCTAGACAGCCGGAGCCGCAGCGGACATGGGTACGGATCTTGTCCGTAAGACGGCGGGGGTGAGGAGAGGCACGCCTTCTGTACACCCGAGGGGCCCTCGACGGGGCCCCGGGGGCCCAGAAGTGGTACGAGAGGTGCACGTCCAACCCCCCTGCCTCCCCCGATTCCCCCTTCTATGATGGGCACGTTTTCCACCACCACTTCCATAAAAGTTGGAGGGGGGAGTGGGTCCTCCTCCCCCTCCTCTTCCTCCTCCTCGTCCGCCACCTCCTTCCCCCCTCCCACTTCTGGCGGTGGTGGCGGAAAACAGGCCCATCATGCTATCGCCCCCCCTTGGAGCAGCGCCCCGCCCCGCTGCTCGTTTGCGCGGCCGGATGCACACGCCGCCCCCCGAGCTGTCCCTGGGCCTGGGCTTCCACCTGCTGCTCGACCGCCTGGCGGCCGAGCACGACCGGGAGCTCGGGGAGGAAAGGGCGCCAATTCTCGCAGGCGCGTTCTCGCCCACGTCCCAGGATTTTTCGCCGAAGTCGAGATTGTCATAAAAGTCGGAGGTGGATCGACCTCCTACCCTGACACGTCGATTAGCGAATTGGCCGTTTTTGGTTCGCGAGCGGGCGTCGCGTCGCGGCCGTCATTTTTGCGGGTCCAGGTCCGTCGGTTTCGGTCCCAGGCCGTTTTCACTAAAGGGAGGTTTACGAAAGGGAGGTTTGTCCCCCGCCCAGTTTTTCGCCGAAATCGAAATCTTTTCTAAAAGGATGGGAACTCGGGGGTACACCCCCTCAGGGGGCCAGTCGGGCGCAAGCTCATCAAGGATGAGCGCTCCCCTATCTTACATCCCCGAGTTTGGCCCCCGGATGTCTGTTCCACTTGAAAACCCCGCGAAGTCGGGGACAGGGATCGACATCTCCAGTTAGATACCGCTGCCCTTCCCTCGTTTCCGCCTCTCTGGGCCTCTTGGGCGGCCCTCGTCGCCACAGCGTGACGCGCTCCGCAGTCCTCGTCGGGGCGCACGCCGAGCGAGTTTTGGGGAGCAGCGCCATCGGTACCCGTTGGCTTCCCAAGGAGGTGGAGGGCCTCAGGGCGGAGAACGCGCGCCTGGCGGCCGCCTGCGAGCGCGGCGGCAGGGCCTCGTCCAAGGTCCGGGACGCGCCCGAATAGGGCGGAGGGGGTTGGAGGCCGCGTGTCGGGTGTTGCTAGAAGTGCCCCTGGGCCAAGGTGCCAGCAGGATTCTCGGGGTGGCCCAAAGGGCCTCCAACGCACCCCTCACGAGGCCCAGAGGGCCCTAGGGGCTCCAAAGTTGGGCGAAAAGCTGGGGGCACCTTGGGCCAGGGGCACTTCTAGCAACACCCGAGCGTGATGGGGGGGTCGATACATTTGCGGACGACCATTAATGGAGAGGAAGCATGCTGCCCAATAGTTAACAGATGTCTGAACACATTTTTGTCGAGCATGTTTCAAACATGCGTAATACATGTTCAACTCAATGGTAGGATTGTTTGGGTGTCCATTGTCATGGCATCCACAACGATACATGGGGGGGGGAAGCGAAGGCCCCTCAAATGGCCCACAAAGCTTTCCAGGGCCCCTCAAAGGGGCCCTTTGGGGCCCACAAGGGGGCCTTTAGGGCCCGACAAGGGCACCTTTCTCTCCCCCCCAATTGCTCGCCCAACTCCAGCTCCACCCTCTCCGACTTTGGCCTCCAATTTCCGACTCTGGTGAGTTTCACTCCGATTCCAGGACCCGATTTCTCTGAGCGGACGGCCGGCCTCTTGCGCGTTCCTCTTTTCATCCTTCCTCCCCTTCGCTCCAGGCGTCGTGTCCCCCTCGATTCACATGGCATGATTTTCCTTACCATACAAGCTTCGGTTGTGATGGGGGGAACAGGGTAGAGAAGGGCCGCATGGATTATTGTCGCACACGCTTCTGTAGCACGCATTCTTCCGTTGGGATGGGGGGATGCAGAGCCTCCCTCCTCCCCGCACCGCCGGGCCGAGCGATGCGCGTGTCCATTCGGCTGGGGTGACCTCCACTCAGCACCCAGCGTGTCCACCCCAAGCGCCCGTGCTCCCTCGGGTATTTGAGAAATTTGAAGAGGGCGGCCCCGGCAGAGTTTTCCGTGCGCTTCGCCCCCACCTTGCAGCACCCCCGCGGTGCAAGACGCAGGCCGACGTCCGATGATGATGTCAATGCTGTCCCGTTGATCGCCCCCCACTCATTCGCGCCCGAGGGGGGGGGGCTTCGCGGGGGCGGGGGGGGGAGGAGCATCGACACCCGATCGTCCGTCCGCTGCTGGTCGAGGCCAGGATGCCCCACCCCATGCCCGGGCTGTCGGAAGGCCCACCCGCCGACCTGAGGGCGAGGCGCCGCCCGCTGTGGGCCGAGGTTGGTCGGCGGCGAGCGAGGGGGCAACGTGAGAAGGGGCGGGCCTTCTCAGAAGGCTCGAACGTCCCGCGGCCTTCCGAGAAGTCATCCATGCCTTCTGCGAAGACGCAGAACCGTTCTCAGAGGGCGCGGGGGATTCTGAGAAGTCCCGCCCCTTCTGAGAAGGCCTTCTCCTCGTTCCTCCCCGCCCCAGTCATCGCCCTCCCATCAAGCAATTCGCGCCCAAGAAAGGGGTGTAGGAATCGGGCAGTGCCGAGGGGGGTCACCACTATTGGGGGGGTCGCCACTTTTGGCTGAGGGTCGAGGCTTCAGCATCGAAGCTCCAGGAGGCTCTGGACGCCTGGTGCCGTCTCCTTGGGGGCCTGGAGTGCCCAGGGGCCCCCCCCGCTGCCTTGAGGAAGCGGCGCTTCCTCGAGGCCGCGGCGACCCCCCCCCAGGTGGTGGCCCCTCCCGGCACGGCCCGAAGCGAGGAGGAACCCAGACGCCGCAAAGAGAAGCCTGCGCCGCAGGCCGAGGCTCACTGGGCGCGTTCCACTATTTGCACGAGGTGCTTGCTCGCAAACGTCAGAAAAGTAAGCATGTTTGCTCCGATGTGGTGGATCGTAGATCCCCAACGGCGAATGCAGGCCACTTGCGAGCAGCCGCTTCTGCGAGCAGTGGAGCGCGCTTGTTTAGAGTTGAGTCGGGCGTGTTCCTCTACAGGAGGTATATTCCGAAATTGTCGAAAATAGTCGGGGGACGATCTTTTGACTATTTTTGACAATGTTGGAGTATTGTTTGACTATGTTTCATTTCTCGCCCAAGATCCCCCTGTAGGGGGGCATGCCCGACCTAAGTCCAGAGGCGCTCTCCACGTCGGCGGCCGCCCTGTCGCCAGCCAGCTGGGCCGCCCCCCCGAGCCTGGCCGGGGACGACGGCCTGAAATTGCAGGAGGGCCTGCTGCGCGCCGAGGACACCGAGAGACGAGCGGCGGTGTAGACGTGGGCTCCGGCGCAGCCGCGCCGGGTCGTGTTTGGGGGATCGGCCCTGCCCCTCCTCGTCCTCCCCCTCCTCCCGCTCCCACTCGCTCCCCCTCCTCCTCGTCCCGGTGCCCCGCGCCGCCTCATTCTTCCGACCTGAGTATGCGGCGTACAGTGCCGTTTTTAATACATGCTCCGCGTGCGGATCATGTGCTGAAAATGCAGGGATTTAGTACTAAAAACAACGATGAGTTCATGCATACATTCATTCTTAAATTAGTCATGTTTTAAGATTCCTATGTTATATATATATATATGTTTATATATACATATATATATATATATATATATATGTGTGAAGATCCGATGCGTTAAAAACTGCCTTGTACACACAACACAGCCAGATCAGTGCCCGCGCCCGTCCAGCTGACGCGCGCCCTTCTCGAGCGCGCCAGGCGCTGAGCAGCAGGCGCTGCCAGGCCTGCCGCGCGGGGGCGAAGCCACCTCGGGGGGTCTTGGGGGCTGGCTGCCCGCACTGGAGTATTCGGGTCGGGCGAAAGGGGGGGATTGGGAGAGGGGGGGTTACGAAATTTGCTGCATGCAGCTGGTTTCGGCCTTCACCGAGGGGCCCATTCCTCGATACATAGCCGCCTCCGGCGCCGGGAGGCGCCGGGAAAATCAGCTACGTGAGCTGATTTCCCCCCCCCCCCCCCCTTTGCTATCCCCCCCTTTCGCCCGATCCGATACATGCGAAGCTCCGCGCGGACCTCGTGGGTCTTCGCTGGGCCTCCCTCGCCGCATCTCTCGGCGGCGCCCCTGGCGCACTCCGCGCGAGCCGATCCGAGGAAGCCCATATGCACGTGGCCAGTGGAGATGTGCCAGCTTGCCGGAAAGCATGGCGAGCACCAGAACAGCATCAAAGCAGGAGGGTTTTCGCATGTGTGGGCCTGGGAGGCGACTTTCTTTTGTGTGCTCGAACTTATGATTTGAATGCAAGTTTCAGGTACGATGAGAACAACAGAAGTGTTAAGTACCACGTCCCAGGTCAGGGGCACGACGGGGGAACTGGCCCATGGGGTGCAGCATTGAACCCCAATCGCCCAGTTCATCGCAAAGAGGGGCTGGGGTTAAGTCGGGCCTGTCCCTCTACAGGGGGAATATGCAACAAAAAGACAAACATAGTATTGGGACGTTTTTTTTGTTTTTGGCCATTTTGGAGTATTTTTTTTATTTCGACAATTTTGGAGTATTTGTTTGAGTATTTTGGAGTATTTTTCGAGTATTTCGATTTTGACCATTTTGGAGTATTTTTTGAGTATTTTTATTTTTCGTTGAAAATCCACCTGTAGGGGGACACGCCCGACTTAACCCTATCGTCGGGTGTTGCCAGAAGTATCCATGACCCGTGGTGGCCCCAGGATGACAATCTGCGCCCCCTCACGGCCTCGCTCGCGCGAAACCGAAAATCCTACGGGGCCTGGGCGCCCGAGCGATGGCGAGCACACGCTGACTTTCGGCGGTCGGCGCGGATGTCCTGGAGCTGCGCCGGGCCCCCCTGGCGGCGCCTCCTGCGCCGCTCCTGGCGCGCTCCGCGCGCCAGGGAGGGGGGGTGTCAGCGCCGATCCGAGACTCCGCGCGGGCCGCCGAGAGTTTTTGCAGGCGTGCCGTTCTCGCTCCCGCGTCCTCCGAGGAGGAGATCCGGCGGCTGCGCAGCGCCCTGGCCGAGGCCCTCGGGGTGCCGCCCGACGACGCCGCAGTCGCCGAGGCGGCGCGCGGGCCGCTGCTGCCGGGGCAGCTGGAGGAGTCGCGGGCGAAGTCCGAGCCCTGCCCTCGCCGGTCAGCGAGGTTCAGGCAGGGGCGAAGCGCCCGTAAGCTAAAGGAATTCCGGCGCGGGATGAAGCCAGTACCTCGTAGAGTTCTTCGACATCGATGAGCTAGAGGAATTCCGGCGCGGGGTGGAGCTAGTTGGTCGACCCGGCCAGAAAAGACAAAGTGGTAACTTTGGGTGATTTTAGGCGCCGTGTGAGAAAAGAGCTGGCTCGCCCATAGGCCCATGACAGAGTGTCCTAGAAGCTGGTTGTGGTCTGCACGCCACGTTCTCTGGGCATGTCTGGTCAGGCTCTCGTGCTGTTCCAGCACGTCGGCCTCCTGTTCTGAGGGCAGTGCTGTTGTTCTCAGAGAGCGGCGTCTATGTCGAAGAACATGTCGTGGTAGGCCTGTATGCCTATATCGGGCCGGGCGAAAGGGGGGGATTGGGAAAGGGGGGGTTACGAAATTTGCTGCATGCAGCTGGTTTCGGCTTCACCGAGGGGCCCATCCCTCGATACATAGCCGCCTCCGGCGCCGGGAGGCGCCGGGAAAATCAGCTACGCGAGCTGATTCTCAAACCCCCCCCCTTTGCTATGCCCCCCTTTCGCCCGACCCGACTATAGGAATGCCGGGGACGGTCGGTCCCTGCTCAACGATTCGAGGTTCGGGGCTCAAGGGTCGAGGTCCTCGGCGTTCTCGTCGGCTCCCGGCAGCTCTCGCAGCCTCGGGCCGTGGCGTCCAGCGGCTGCGCCTCGCCGAGGGCGCTCCCGGGGGGGGTGTGTGTCCGGGATCGTCCCGTCATCGGCCGCCGGACGCCAAGGGCCACCAGGAGTCGGGTTTGGATTGGCCCGGGTCAGGAGATCCCCGAAGGGGGCCAGGCACCGTCTCCGATCAACGATTCAGTCAACTCTCGGGAGGGAGAAAAACACACAGACAGACACAATGGACCGTCGACCCCCCAGAAAAGGTGGGAACAGGTGGGAAGTGTGGGGGGGGGAAGACAGAGAAATCCGGAAAGTATGGGAAGAGATGGGGAATCCTGCTAGTCGTGTGTATTTCTTGGTGCGTCCTTGGGCCCCCTTCAGAATCCGAGCTCCGCCCCCTCCCGGCCTTCGCCTCGGGAGGGTCGCGGGGATGGGCGGGCTGGCGGGGCTCGGGCGTCGCCGCCCGAGGAGCCCCCCCCGCTGCTGCCCAGCCAGCCGGCGGCGCCGCGGGGAGAAGGGGGAGCGAGGAGCGGCATGGCAGGGGCGAGGGGGTGCCGATGCCGCTGCTCTCAAGTCGGCCCTGCCGTTTTCCGGGGCCCACAAAGCCGCCACCCTCAAGTCGGGCCTGTCCCTCTCCAGGAGGGATATTCAAAAGTAGTTCCACAATAGTCTGGGGACGATTTATTCCCAACCATCCTGTGGTGTTGGGTCCTCGTTTTGAAGAGACGGTCCCCGCGTTCCTCTTCTCCTCTCCTCCTCCTCCCCCTCTCCTCCCCCTCCTCTCCTCCCTTCTCCTCCTTCCATGCGCTTCACCCACCCAGCACAGCGTTTCGTGGCCCCATAGGGAGCTCCACCGAAGTCCCCAGTGGGACCGCCCGCATGCGTCCGCCACCACCCAGCACAGCCCTTGCTCCCTGCGTTTCACCCACCCAGTACAGCGTTTCGTGGTCCCATAGAAGGCCCCACCGAAAGTTCCAGTGGCACCGCCCGCATGCGTCCGCCACCACCCAACACGGCACTTGTTCTCTGCGTTTCACCCACCCAGTACAATGTTTCTTGGCCCCATAGGGGGCTCCACCGAAGGTCCCAATGGCACCCCCCGCATGCGTCCGCCACCACCCAACACGGCCCTTGCTCCCTGCGTTTCGCCCACCCAGTACAGCGTTTCGTGGCCCCATAGGGAGCTCCACCGAAGGTCTCAGTGGCACCGCCCGCATGCGTCCGCCACCACCCGGTACAGCCATTTCTCCTTTCCTTTCACCCACCCAGTACAGCGTTTCGTGGCGCCATAGGGGGTTCCACCGAAGATCCCAGTGGGACCGCCCGCATGCGTCCGCCACCACCCAGCACAACCCTTGCTCCCTGCGTTTCGCTCACCCAGTACAGCGTTTCGTGGCCCCATAAGGGGGCTCCACCGAAGGTCCCAGTGGCACCGCCCGCATGCGTCCGCCACCACCCAGCACAGCCCTTGCTCCCTGCGTTTCACCCACCCAGTACAAAGTTCGTGGCCCCATAGGGAGCTCCACGGAAGGTTCCAGTGGCACCGCCCGCGTGCGTCCGCCACCACCCAAGACGGCCCTTGCTCCCTGCGTTTCACCCACCCAGTACAGCGCTTCGTGGCCCCATAGGGAGCTCCACGGAAGGTTCCAGTGGCACCGCCCGCATGCGTCCGCCACCACCCAACACGGGCCTTGCTCCCTGCGGTCCACCCACCCAGTACAGCGTTTCGTGGCCCCATAGGGAGCGTCACCGAAGAAGAGGTTCACACTTGCGGTATTCACAACTGCATATGGTTGGGTTTTTCGCCAGGCTTTTTGTTTTGTTTGCCATTTTGGTATATTCGTTGGCTATTCTAATTTTTTCCCCAAAAATCCCTCTGTAGGAGGACAGGCTCGACTTACCGCTGCCCCTGTCCCGCTGTTTCGCCTTCTGGGGCCCCCCGTGAGGCCCCCGTCGCCACGGCTGGAGGCGCCACGGAAGTCTGGCCCAGACGGACCGCGGGAGAGCTCCGGGCTGCCGCGGCATCGACATGTCTCGGTTCTCCCCGGCACCGGCAGACCCCTCGGTCGATGAGAGCGTATGCTTTGATTTCTACCCTTGCATGTGGGGTCAGGGTAGATTTGGTCGGAGGATCGCGCCGCATGGACAGTGCATCGGATACTCGGAGCGATGTGGAGCCCGATCCTATCCACGCCGACGTCGCCGACGCATCGCCGACGTCGCCGATGCATCGCCGATGCATGGATGATGCATCGACGATGCGGCGCGATCCTCCGACCTCATCTACTCCGACCCCATCTGGGATGCCTCTATTTTTGGATACCAGGATTCGAGTCTACTCTTGGCACCCGCCTACCTCAACAATCGCTTGGTGTTCTGCTTGCGCTTCTCCTCTGCGGGCGGGCGGGAGCCCGATATGACTTCAGTGCTCTTCCGCGCTTCACGTGTTCTTGTTTGACCGATGGGCAATCGGCCAAACGCAAGTCAACTTGGCGTCGCTCGGACGCGTGCCTTTTTCCTCAGCGAGAACCATCGAGGACCATCCTGGACCCTCGAGCCAGAAAAGCACGCACGACACCGATCAATGCACGGGAAAGGGACGTCCGAGCGACCGGCAAGTGAAAGTGACCCCCTTCGCCCGAGCGACCTGTCGGTGCGGGCCCGCCGGGGCCCGCCGATCGCTGGGCGCGGTGCGACGGCAGCGGCCTGCGCGCCAGGCTCTGACCCCCCCGCGCGCCCCCTGAGGACAGTCGCCGAGCGGGGTGACCCCCCACCCTCCCTGAGAGTCGATCGGGGGTGGACAGACCTCCTACCCTGACACGTCGATTAAGGAATTGGCCGTTTTCGGTTCGCGAGAGGGCGTCGCGGCCGTCATTTTTGCGGGTCCAGGTCCGTCGGTTTCGGTCCCAGGCTGTTTTCACTAAGGGGAGGTCTACTAAAGGGAGGTTTGTCCACCGCCGAATCGAAAAAGAAAAACCGCCATAAACACACAATCTTTTGGCTCTCCGCGCGGATTTCTTGGATCTGCGCTGGGACCCCCCCTGGCGGCGCCTCCGGCGCCGCCCCTGGCGCGCTCCGCGCGCCAGGGGTCCCAGCGCAGATTCAAGAAGTCAGCGCGGAGCGCCAAAAGTTTATGCTTATGGCTTTGTTTGTTCTCCTCCTTCTATAGAGATCGTGGGGGGCGGGGGGGTAGGGCTCACCTGTGGCCACCTACCAAACCACTCCACCTCAACCCGAAGGCTTCAATTTGCCCGCCACTTCCAGTGGGGTGGGGTCGGGGAACATCGAAAAAACACAGATGGAGCCCATACCATACCCCCCCAACCCGAAATTCGGGTCTTCGGGTTGCCTTGGGGTGGTCTGGTAGGTAGTTTCACCTGTGGCCACCTGTGAGTGCAGCCAGCGTGAGCTGTCGGAGTTCCACGCGCGGATCTCTCCTCTCGGAGGTCCGCCGCGGGGGGGTCGCCCCCCCCTCCCCCCCTGGAGGCACCGTCCCCCGCGCCGGGAGGGGGATCCAGCGCCGAACCAAGAGTAAATCGGGCCTGTCCCTCTACAGGAGGAATCTTCAAAACATAGGCAAACAAATAGTGTGGGGACGACCTTTTGGCTATTTTTCGCTATTTTTGGTGACCTCTGAGTATCTTCTATATTTTTCGCCAAAGTCCGCCTGAAGGGGGACCATGCCCGACGTGAAGCCAGGAGAGCCGCGCGGACCCACAGAGGTTGCCGTTTCTGCCGCGTCTTCCCCCAGGTGGGTGCCCTGGGCACTCGGCCGCAGGCCGACGGTGACAGGAGCCCCCGTGAGGCGAGCGTCCCCCAGCAGGCGGTGGCTGTGCTGAGTGTCCCAGACGTCCCGCTGGGCCAGAGCCTCAGGGCCAGCGGCATCTCGTGCATGGGCGCCGCGGGGCTCATGGTGGACGCGAACATCCGGAAGCTCCACGGCGAGGAGAAGATCAAACACCTGGGGCGCTTCGTGGAGCTGCTTCAGATGGACCCCGCCGAGGAGAACCACACATTCCAGATCGAGCAGCTCCAGACAGTCCTGGTGGAGAGGAGGTACGGCATCACGGTCGAGCGCCTCCAGTCCGTCGTGGCCGAGATGATGCGGGTGGGTGCTGGGCGTGACCGTGCGCGGTCTATCCTGGCCAGGGGCAAATCGAGATCCAGGTCTGGCCTATTCTGGCAGGCGACCCGCGACTCAGTCCTCAAGCCAGACTCGTCGAGCCCCGAGAGGGGTGAGCCGTCGGCCTGCACAAAAGGGGTAGACCTCCTGACGTTCGTGGAAGTCGTCGTCGATCCTGACTTACCCACCCGCGTCGGGGCGTCCTTCCGTCATGACGTCACGCGGATCAGACAGTTGCTCTTGCAGTCGGACATCGACGAGATCATCAGGAAGGTGACCCGCGTGAGGAAGAACAGGGCGTCCGATTATGCTTCCGAACCCGAGGACGGGGGCATGGACACGGACCTCATCCTTTTCCGCCTGAACGTGCTGGTGAGCGTGACGGTCTTGCTGTCCGTCCTGTTCCTCGGGGTGAGCATGGACTACGAGCCCAGCTCTGGCTGGTGGGTTGCGGTCGAGGGACCTTACCGAGAAGCAAGCGTTTCCTAAGGAGAACGGTTCCTGACGTGTGTTTGCAGTTTTTGATGTTCCTGGGCTCTCCACGGGCCCCGTGATTGTCAAACAAGTCTCCGGATGGAAAGACTAGGAGGAGGAAGAGGAGGAGGAGGAGGAGGAGGAGGAG